TTGGCAAAATCTCTTTACTCTGATGATTAGTTGAATGCGGTGTATAATGAATTCATTTTTTTTTTACGATTGATTAGTGAAATTACTAATCAACTATTGCTTTAAAATACTCATGTAACAACAGACTTTCGACGTATGAAAAGCGGCTTATAAAAAGCGACAGAGAACAAATATAGTGGCCAAAAAGGAGACCACTCTGGTGGAGAACCGACGAGTTGGAACTCTGAAGGACGGAGGTTCGACACCAGCCGTAACTGAACTAGAATAAAGGTTATTATTCATTTGTCTGTTTTGAGGTAAGGGTGGACGAGTTCATCCAAAAAAAACCAACATTTTTAGCTAAAACAAACTAACTTCAACTTCGTTAAATAGCTTTGTGTAGTTGAGCAAAAGAATAATGTTCTCCGAGGAATTTTATGAGCTTTTCAGAGTGTGGCTTTAGCCGTTTGTTTACTTAGACCGAGATATTTTTGAGCGCTCAGCGCAGGGTTTATTAGTAAGGGAATAAGTGTGTGTTCGGGAGGTATAATAACACTCTGTTTAAGACCGGTTGGAGTCTGGAAGGGTGATAATTACCCGAGGCGAAGCCGAGGGTTATTATCCCCCATCCAGACTCCAACCGGTCTTCGCCTCGGGTAATTATCACCCATCCAGACTCCAACCGGTCTTAAACAGAGTGTTTAATACCGACCGAACATACATTCCCATTCATAAATACCTTTTTGGTCAAACAAAAATAGTTTCCGTCCAAACATCAAAACAAGTCCAAACTAGACATTGCTAACCATTTTGCTCAACAAATTTGCTTCATGTTGCATCAAACACCCCGCTGACTACAATATGGATTGTCCCTCTAGTTCATGTTGCATCAAACACCACTCTGACTATAATATGGATTGTCCCTCTACAACTCCCTACCTTAAAAGGAGATTGGCGCGCGCGTCGCGCGTACTGAGCGATGGCGCGCAGAATGCACCTGGGCGTTGTGTTGTGAATTTAGGACAATAAAATACTGACTCACTGGTAGTATTGTGCATGCTTATGTACGAGAGTATTATGAACGTTCAACCAAAAAAATATATGTTTAATGATTAAAGGGAATATACATCATTTGCTTTTGCTGTAATTTTCAGAAATGGATGGAATTGGGGGGTTGGAAATATATAGCAAATATAGTTACACTGACTTTTTTGAGGTTTTGGGTTCGAAAATGCTATAAAAACCAAGAAAAACAATCATTTTCCTGTAGTATGGTTCCCTGACTCCATTTAAGAATAAACAGAGCAGTTTACATATATTGGGGAATTGTAAGGTCAGGGAACCAGTCTAGCTGGCTTGTACCCGTTCATAGGTGTGTAATCGATTGCAAACAAGTGTGATGGTCAACTGGGGCCAGTATTTGGGAAAAAACCATTTTTTTCCAACGCTGATCGGCCGATCAGCGTTGGAAATTGATACAAAAATACCAGTTTTCTTGAAAATGACAGTATGCAGGTGCCATGATTTTACAGGATGCTTTACACTGTCATTCACTAACAGTCCAGCAAGGTATTTCAAAATGATTTGGTAGTTTTATTTTTTGATGTTTGCAAATGTTGTATTTTCCCTTTAATGTAAACGATTAACATTAATTCATAAACACCTAAGACAGTTTAGCCATTCCTAGTGGTCGAAAGCCCGTCACGTGGCCGGTCTTAACGGATGGTAAAGACATGGCTAGCTGGTCTAAAACACTTTTCCAGTGTCACATGAAATTTCGACTCCTAAAAATCCTGTGCCTTTAATTGTTTTATTGGGTGAACATTCACAATCCTCATGTAGGCATGCGCAATACTACCAGTGAGTCAGTATTTTGTAGTCCTTAATTCACAACGAAACGCCCCAGGTGCATGCAATCTGCGCGACACCGCGCAGTACGCGCGACGTGAGCGCCAATCTCCATAAAAGGTCTTGTTTACATCTTATTTGCGAGCTGGACACTCCATTATTTAGCTAGAGGGATGTTCCAAAAACATGAAGTGAACTTGTTGAACAAAATCGGGGTTTTGTGACTGAAAATTTTAGATTTCTTGAACGAAAAGGTATTTATGAATGGGAATAAATATGTTGTTGGTCGGTATGAACTAGGCTTGGGTAATTATCAGCACCCAGACTCCAAGCGGTCTTAAACAGAGTAATTAAACCTACAAAACATCCCCTTAATAAGATGACAGCATCTCTTAGCTGGCTGTTACTTGCTTGCATAGATATAATGCTAACATTGCTATCACCTTTTGGAGGAAAATATATATATTTTTTTATATAAGGTTTTTAATTAAAAACTGTACAAGAGACGCTTGTAAATGCCAAACGCTATCTACTTGTAATTTTAAATGTTCGTTAATATTGTTGTGTCAACACTTACTTTTTATTAAGCCTCGATCGCTTTTGGACCACTCCCATTTAATAATATCGCTGGCAAAATTGTAATTAGATAATCGAATTTGTTTGGTTGGAAAGTAAAACAATATTGGTTGTGTTAAAATAAACTTCGTATATTAGTGGTAGTTACTGATTATGTAATTCGTAAAATTAGTCAAAGTTATTGTGAGGTTTGAAGCTATAATTTGATTTGAATGCGATGTACGGTGGCAAGGACCAAGGTTTGGTGTATTTTTTTTCTGAGGTGGTAGCTCATAAAATCAGCAATTGAGTCTGAAAAAATTATCATGTATCAATCTGATTGAGCACAGATTAGAAGTATTAACATTATTTGCACAATCTTGCACTTATAGAATCTGGTTCTCCGTGATTCGACAACATAATTTTATCTTGAATTAACGTACATTCAGCCCGAGTTTCAGATGATCGTTTGTAAATCTTCAAATTTGTTGTTGACGTTTTAAAACATATTTACTCATAACATAGTCCGTGTTCTCTTGTGTTAACTATTTTATATTTTAAAGTTGATTTAGTGCTGCATGCCAACAACTTTAAGTGATGCAGTTCGGTGATTCAGGAAAGAACGTTTCAGTTATATCGTAATGAATGGTAACCTTTACATATTGATTCAAGTGATCAACGTTCAGAAAGTTGTCTACGTTTTCAATTCTGCAAGGATATGAAGTAAACTTTATTTTCATTTTTGCGCGACAGGTTAAAAATATTGTTTTCTTTTTAGCGGCAGACAAAGCTGGTTTATTAATTTTGATATTTATAGAACTCTTCGATTGAGTAAGATTCGAATACTGAAAGATAATGCATGTAAAGCAAACTGTATCTTTTTAATTTTACATTTTAATGTGGTATCGAGCATGACTTATCACCAAGCCTGGATTGCTTTTGAACCACACCACTTAAACAATCTTGCTTGCAAAACTGAAATCAGAAATTTGACAAGTCAAGGGGTTAGTTTTGTCAGAAAGTCACTTCTGTTTTGGAATAGTAAAACTGGTACGTGACAGTTAATGATTAGGCAATTCGTCAACTTTCTTCGAAATTATGAACATGGTCGAAGGTATAATTTGTTTTGAATGCGATTAATGCTCGCAAGTACTGTTGTTTGGTGTTTATCTATGGCGGTAAATCGTACAGAAGATATAGAGTGAAAAAAATGTAATATATCAATCTAATTGTGCACGTTTTATAAGTCTAAATATTGTTCGCACTAGCCTTGCATTGTACATTGCTTTCGCGATTTTTTAAGATTAGCTTTGGCAAGATGGTAGTTTTGTAAAGGTTTTCTTACCTATTTTAATACTTGTATCACACAAATTACCAGAAACGAAATTCGATGACAACAATATTGATATGAATGACCAACACAATAAATAAAATAATTGCTTTATTCAAATCATTGCCCATCACCACAGAAGACGAGTTTACCGAATTTAGGACGAATCGGAATGCTTCCAACTGAAATATGCTGCATTTATTTTTACTAGATTTTGTTGATCAGACCAAATTTGGTTAACAAAATAGCTCATAGTTGAATAAGACAGTTGTACCAAAATGACGTGCAATAAATATCGATGAAAATCAACTTATTTATAAACTACAAACCAGGACATCGCTCGTGCAAAATCTCGAACGAACTTTTTAGTAACAGGTGTATCGTAATGTATGGTAACGTTTACAATGCTGCAAGGATATGAAGTAAACTTTATTTTCACTGGTTAAAACTATATTATTTGTTTGGGCGGCAGACAAAGCTGTTATATTAATTGTGATATTTAAACCCCCTTGAATGAGTTGCGATTTGAAAACTGTAAAATAATGCCTAAAAAGAGCAAACTATATCTAAATTTAATATGGTATTGAACATGACTTATCACCAAACCTCGATTGCTTTCAAACCAAACAACTTCAATATTCCTGCTTGCAAAACGGAAATTAGACATTTGACAAGTAAAGGGATTAGTTTTCTGGGAAGATTACTGCTGGTAAGAATTGCTTTAGATTGTAAAGTTTGTTGTTGGCTTGAATGCAACGTGCACTAGCAAGAGCAATTGGTGGTAGCTCATACAAAAGCTATGGCGTGAAAACAATGTCATGTGTAATTTTCATATTTTCATGTTTATGTGTAGTTCTTTTTTTGTTGTTGCTATAATTATTACCAAATTTAGTGGTTGTTAAAAATATTGTTCGACAAATTATTCAATGGGACTTCTTTTCTTAAGCTGCAGAGGAGATATCATTATGACTCAATCCTGTCACATTTTAGGTGAACGTTTGTGATTTCTCAAATTTTAGCTGACTTTTCAATTACTTAAAACAGATTCGGAGTTCTCTAGATCTTAGAAGTGTGATACGTGTTATAGCTTTTGAAGTTGATTCAGATAGTCACTCGCAGCGCGGGACATATGAAATTGTTAGTTTTTTTTCATCTGTTTGCCCTTTTCTTTTCGTTTTATCAATATCGAGGTTTTTTTCTAAGGCGGCAGAACGCTTTGCCCCAATCTATAACAAATTAGCGGAGGTTTCCTACTGACACTCGTTCAATTGGGCCATGTTTTGTCGTCTGTGACCTTGAAAAACGAACTCTCCGTGGCAAAATCTTGGTGGCGCAGTGCATTGTGAATCGCCCAAATTGAATCTTTAGCGGCAGTAGTGGGGCTATTAAAGTCAAATAGCTGATACAATGTTACTAAAGCATGAAACTTCTCATGTTGGTTCTTCACTAAACTCATCATTAAGACCTACATTATAAGATTATGGAGCAGTATCGAGACAGCCTAGTTCAAAATCGCTCATATTATCCCGGACTGGGAGCTTGAGTGCTGAAAAACATGCAAAATGATAGCATGAAGTCTCAAACAATTTCATTTGGCAAAAAAAGGTCCTCAGTATTTCACCAACCAAGTTTGAAGATTCAATTCATTTTTTTAAGGGATAATTGTCTTCAATATGTTGCACATTATGAGGAAATGTGTACAAATAGAGACTATAGGCCTACCAGACATGCCAGATGTTTCTCTTTTGTTGGCACAGTTGATTCAGCACTAGATACTGATGGGTTGTTGTACTGTTGTTTCAGGTGCAATGTAATTGTCTTATATTGCATGTTTTCAACAAGACTTACCACGCCCACTTGTGGTCAACATGCAAATTGAGGTCAAAGTAAACATAAGTACAGTACGTGTATGACTCCACCCCGCTAGTTTAGTTGAATAATACAAAAGCGTGTGATGTTACTACCCCTGTCATGCGAGCTTATAATCATTCCTGAATCCATGTCATCTCCCAAGTTTGGGCACAACCATATTTGGAAGTCCAGTTGGCTCCCAGATAAACTCAACCATAAAAGTATGTAACGAAAAGAAACAAAAACATTCCAGTTACGCTGGACATTTGCAGCAAGATGGTTAATATACAGTTATACCAATTGTCAATCTACTTTGAAGACAGTAGTCTCATCTCCTGATCATTCGAGTTGTCCTCCGAAGAAAAAGCCTCGCGTGGTTCCCGCCTCCTACAAGGTAAATACAAATCAAAATGTACAAGTTTTTAAGAGGAGCCAGATTTACCTTTTGCTTGTATAATGTTCAAGATTGCAAATTTCACTTAATGAAAAGACTTTTTAACTTACAATTGTCCAGAGTAATGTCAGTGGATATTACATTTTGAGTGAGAAAACTCGTGACTCAAATGTGTACGTTGCAGACAAATCTCAAGTCTGTGTCCAATATGAATATTCTTTCGGAAACGCACAGAATTGTGGGTTAGTCAAACTGAAGTGTCACGTGCGGAAATGAACGCTGTGTCATATGAAAATTAGACTCCAATGAAAATCGGTTTCCTTTTATACCCACTGGTTAAACCCCGCGTGTACGTGTGCACAATAAGCACTGGCTGTTGCAAGAATAAGTCTTGCATGAATGCAGGAAAGTCTTGCACTGAAGAAATCGATTAAAACGATCCCTGTCAGACCTTAAAAAGGCGACGCCGAAAAATGTGACTCCGAAAAATGCGACGCCGGTGGCACATAATATGGCAAAAACCTGTTGGCCAATTGTCGAGAAAAACAGACAAATCAGACCAACCGATCCGACCATCAAGTATTAAGTAATATGTAGAAGCTTCTGTCAGAGCTTATATCATAAAAGAGTCTTAAATTCACACTTCACCGGCTTAAATGACCTTTGTTTGAGGAAGTCATACGTTGTTTCCAATCACGGTGGTCCATTCTGACCTCGTTCTCCATAAATTGTCTCATGAGGGCGCTATCAGCCGCTATATACCGTCATTATTCGTTCGGCTTGTGCTTGTGGATAAAGGTATGCAAGATTTCAAGTCTGTGTTTATATTGACAAATACAATCGACTGCCGTTATAACGAGCTCGGTCATAACAAAATCCCGACTGTAACGAACACATTCTCCCAGTCCCGATCAATGTGTGTATATAACTATTGGGACATATTTGGTTATTACGTGCACGGACATAACGAGACTTCGACTGTTACGACGATTTTGGCCGACCCAATGCGAGGAAAAGCATTGTTCTCAACCCATTTACAACGACAGCTTTTCAGAACTACGGGCATTATATTGCAGCTTGTCAACGACAGACCTTTTGTCCCAAAACGGGTATATGCTCCCGTCTTCCAATTCAAGCAACACACTTCAGCTTCACCCATCAATGTACCTTTGTAAAGACTTCCACACAGCGTTATTTTCATCTCGCCGATCTGTATAAATAAATTCAATAGAACTGTGATAATCGCCGCAGTGGACGGCTGGTCTAGTCGCTAATCCCCCGCTGCGGTTTCCCTTAGCAGAACCAGGGTTTGAAGTTTGCTTACGACTGCGGTACCACGTTTCTAGATTATTAAAAACGGAAAATAGGGGCGCTCAGGAGATAAGTGTTGACATTGTAAGGACTAACCTATATAGTACTGCCTCCTTTTACGTTCTCAGTGTTTATGTGCAACCTACCCTTTTCCGCATCGAAACTCCCAGATGCCAAAAAGACACGTGATGATCAAAACAGCGAAAGAGGTACAAGCGATGGTCATAATCGAATAGCCGAACCCGTAATACTCTGTGATGACGCCCCCTAGCAACGGGCCCGTCAATGAGCTAATCGGATAAATCAAAATGTATTTGTGTCCATTTCTGGTGGTCATTCAAGAGATATACACTATCTTTAGTATGAAAGAAATTACTGTATTTGTGGGATGATACACATATTAAAGGGAAAATACAACATTTGCAAACATCAAAAAATAAAACTACCAAATCAATTTGAAATACCTTGCTGGACTGTTAGTGAATGACAGTGTAAAGCATCCTGTAAATTCATGGCACCTGGTATAGTGTCATTTTCAAGAAAAGTATTTAAAGGTATTTTTGTATCAATTTCCAACGCTGGTCGGCCGACCAGCGTTGGAAAAGACTGGCTTTATTTTCAAATACTGGCCCCAATTGACAATTGCACTTGTTTGCAATCGATTACACACCTATGAACGGGTACAAGCCAGCTAGACTGGTTCCCTGACCTTACAGTTCCCCAATGTATGTAAACTGCTCTGTTTCTTCTTATATGGAGTTAGGGAACCAGACTACGGGAAATTGATTGTTTTTCTTGGTTTTTATAGTATTTTCGGACCCAAAACCTCAAAAAAGTCAGTGTAACTATATTTTCTATATATTTCCAACCCCCCAATTCCATCCATTTCTGAAAATTACAGCAAAAGCAAATGATGTATATTCCCTTTAAAGGCCAATGGAAAAAGTATGTAACCAAATTATTGTATCAACTGTTCCTTTTTCTCATGTTTTGTTAATTTTACTTATACAGGTACTATGTAACTATGTTGGCAGCATGAAGAAGGAGGAGAAGGAGCATGTGGAGAACATGGTCGTATCTAAATAAAAAAATCTTTAGCAGAATGCATTCGGTGCACGAACTGTAGGTGGCACTATTTGGCCAAGTTGCAAAGGAAGTACACACTGCGCAAGCGGGATTTTTTGGCTCAAACTTTCGGCCAAACCGAGGCTGTGTAAGCTTTCACCATTGATTTACACTGGCGACTTTTCCCCCTTGCTTGGTAAATCCTTATCAGAAAAAAAAGAGAGCACGAGGACCTCGCTTTCAGGCATTCAGCAAACAGCGCCACCAACGGTGGCTTATTGACCCTCTTACCCGAGTGCGTACGCACTGTTCCAAAGGCCAGATATAACAGCAGTCAATCCTAATCCACTCGGTATGCCATACCACCTGTAGGATTGAGGTTATACATTGTATTAATCCAATCAATTGAAAACTTCTGTTTTCACAAGTACAATAGTGTAACTTCTGTACAAGCTTTACTGAGCTACTTGGACTTGTTATTCATCCTGGTGATTTTTTTAAACAAAAAACAGCAGCCTATATACATATATACATTAAACACAAAGTGAGCAAAAAAAAAGGCATTCCATATCTCTGAATTAAATATGCATATCATATGCATATCACTCTGAACGAGTGCATCATTTCTTTGACCAAGTCCAATTTGGTTTTAAGGACATTAAACACTGATGGCTGTTATTTCTGTTTTTGTTTTTGCTTTTTTTTTTAGAATGTTTTTTTTCAGCAGTTTTCTGTGCTTCAGTTATGTAGCAATAATGTGTTATTATAAACGGTTACAAGAGTTAAAAACAAACAGTGTAGTAATTGCACTTACTCTGCAGAACGTAACATGTCTACGAACGTTGGAGTAGCCAACATGGAAAACGTTGCGGCTGCGATGGGTATGGTAACGCCAGGAAGTACCCCAGTCCTGTAGGAGATACGTTTCAGGTGTGTAAACGTTTTCCGAGCTGTTCCGACTGATAATTATACAGGAACGTTCGCAAATGTGTTAAAACAGGAACGTTACTTAACGATCTGAAAACTCTTCCGCGTTTTGTGACTAACGTGTTTTGTTCGTAAAGGAAATAACTTTTTTTGGTTCATACTGCTGAAAACACCGAGTTTTCCCATATAAGAACGTTTGCTATAACGCACCAGTTCTGGACGGAACGCTGCGTGAGGCGTTTCGAGGTGTTCCTAACATTAACCGATTTTTGAAGGGTAAACTTACACAGGCAAGTGCAAAATCTGTGGTAGCCCTAACAGCAGAAACAGTCCCCCGCTGCTGGATGCACCTACTACAATCAGTGTTCTAGCGCATTTCTGACATGAGGAAATCAAAATTTTCAAATTAATTAACACAAAAAGTCCCAGTTTTAATATTGAGCTTTTTCTTATAATTTTTATTATTATTATCAGTATGAAGTTATATCCTTCAAATTAGGTTTTTGCCCTTCACCACTTATAATAGTTTATGCGGTACCCGCTGCTATGTACAGATCCAAACCAGCCAACCGATCCAGTTAGCTCGGTGGTCGAGTGGTAAGACATCTGCACTAGAAAGCAGGAGGTCGTGGGTTCGAGTCCCACCCGAGTCATTTTTTTCCAACTCTCACTGGGAGGTAACACACTGAATATACAGTGTTTAAACGTCGGTGAAGGGCAAAAACCTAATTTGATTGATATCACCCCAACGCAAAATTCCATCTAATTATAATAAGTTACATCCTGCTACAAAATAATCTCGAACATTTTGTGTCAAATTCGGAGCGATGCATTGTCTTTCCATTGTCATTGAAAGTAACGTCTTAGCACACACACACAAGCCCTGCCGATTAACGTTTGCTCTTACCTTTGCGTCCGCAATGGCACCCCAGATCACTGAGAATAAGCCGTAGCCCAAACCCAAGCTAACAAAGAGCAGACTTATCGCCATCACACTAAAATTAAGCTATCAAGAAGAAAGTGTTAATCAAATAAAATGTGTATAGAAAAAAATATCTTCAAAAGTATTTTACGGGAAACTTTCGAGTAGGGATGGACTCTTCCTGCCTGTTAATCAAACAGTGCGCATTGACCAATAAGATCACGACTTTTGTGGTCACGTGACAACATAAGCGCGGTTAAACTCGGTCACAAGGACAGACAATTTACACACACCGAAGGTGATATCATCAAAACTATGAATGGCCCATTTTAACGTTGCCACTTAAACAGACCTTGCATATCTTAATTAAAAAAAAATGTTATTTGAAGAAAATGTCAATTTTGTCTCCATTACCTCGTCCAGAAAAATTGCCAGAGTTGGCTGCAGGGACGCGTAGGCTGCAAAGCCAACAAAGTTGGCGAATAAAGCAATCCAGACGGCAGGTATGCTGAGCACTCGGCTCACAGAACCAGACTCCTCAGCCTCGTTCCCTGATCAGAAATGGTAAATAACATTGCACGGAGTCGGCAGGGAACAACAACCTGAATCTGGCGCCCAATTTGGTCTGGTACCCCCATGTACGATTAATGCAAATACAAATTTGGTGCTTTACGTGTTTTATTTAATCACTGATGTCCGGGGTTATAATCTGATGCTAACTGCAGCTTAACATTGATTGGTCATTTTTTTCAGCCAATGAGGGCGCTGTCTTCCCATTAGGGCGGTAAAACAACAGACGTGAATCCAAGATTGCTTGAGGTAAGTTTACACGGATTCGGGAATTGCATCTTCGCCCACGAGTTTGGCACCATTTTGTACCTCATATTTTATAGATCGTCAGTTGCAGCGCATCTATTGAGGTGTGTGGTTTTGTTCAACAGGGACACTACGCTTGAGTAAACCAAAACCTCAAAGATGGCCACTGAATGCAATCGCTCTATCAGCCTTTTTAATATCCACATTTTATTGGTTTTAAAGATTCAAACCTTGATTAGGCATCAAGAAGCAATTGACGACAACGGTCGACAGAACGATACCACCAAGGACGAAGAAAGGAATTCTAAATCCTGCAGCCTGGTAAGACAAATCAACAAAACCATTACACATGTGTTCATTGGGGTGTTTTTTTGTTTGTTTGTTTGTTTTGTTTGTTTGTTTGTGTTTGTTTGTTTGTTTGTTTGTTTGTTGACTCTGTATGCAAACAACAGAGGGCGCCTCACTCCCCTTACCGTATGTTGAGCAAGTTTGGACTCTGGGAAGACGTCGTTTTCTTGGTACAATAACACAATATCACATTTAATAAAAAGTTCAAGCACTTTGGCAACTTTACTTCAATCTAAAAATTTGTTCTTGGTTTCATCCAAGGCAAAAATAATGTCACGTGCAGTTCTTTTAACGTGCAGCTTCTTTCAATTGACTGGAAATTTAGGAGGTGGTATTTGTCTCTTCACTATTTTTTTATTATTTTTTTTTGTACAGAAAACAACTGCACTCATTGCGTTAACTCATTAACTCCGATTGCAATTTTTCCATACTTACGTGATACAGCAAGCCGCCTACTGCTGGCCCAATTGCAAAAGAACAGCCGACAGTCGTCTCAACCAGACTCTGTTGATTTAAGAAGGGGGCACCAATGTAAAAAGATAAGTTTACCTGAAGCTAAACAGGTGCTCTGAGGTGTAAACTCGCGTCCAGTGATTTGTGCTTTATTAATCAACTATAAGCATGCGCGGATCGCGTGCGAATGATTTACTCCAATCTAAAAGTCGTCACTTTTCTGCCGGAATACAAGTTTACGTTTGCCCCTTGCAGGACAGAATATTTCAATACACATACCTAAGACAGTTTATCCATTCCTATTGTTCGAGAGCCCGTCACATGGCCGATTTTAAACGTTTGATAAGGACTGGCTGGCTGGTCTTCAACACTTTTTCCAGTGTCACATGGAATTTGGACTCCTATGAAATCTGGTGCCTTTTGCCGTTTTATTGATTCAACGTTCACAATCCTCACGTAGGCATGCGCAATACCACCAGTGAGTCAGTATTTCATAGTACTCAATGCACAATTACTTGCACAGCTGCGTTCTGCGCCAAATCGCGCGCTACGCGCGACCTGCTCGCCAAACTCCATATAAGGAGGTTTTTTTTCTACGACTTGCGAGACTTGACACACCATAATACAGTAAAAGGGGTGTCCGAAAAACATGAAGTTAAAATGTTGAACAAAATCGTTGGACATTTATAATTTTGGACTTGTTTTGACTTTTGGACCGAAACGTTTTGATTTGTTGACCGATGCTGAAAATTACCCTAGACTTCGGCTCGGGTATAAATTATCAGCATCCAGAAACGAATTGGTCTTAAAAAAATAGTGTAAAAACGGCCAGGCATACTCATAAATGCACGCATTATTTCCTTTAATTAGTATGGTGGTCATTTTTCGGGTCATTGTGATCTGGAAAAGTGTCATTTTGACCCGGGAAACATGTCGTTTTTACCCGGAAAAGTATCAGGTCAAAATATGACTGGGATTCCGGGTCAAATCGGACGCGGGACCTTTCAAATGTAATATAATTGCCCATGAAATTAACTTTTTATACCACAGCCTTGCCAACATCGTCAGGGAATACAGAAGCTACGATGGCCGTTGATGCCGTCAGCACAGCAGCCGAGCCGAGCCCCTCTAAAATGCGAATGGCGAAACTGAACCCAGTGAAAGTAGCGATTGTGGGCATGTCGATAATAAACCTGTGTTAAAGCATAGGACAGAAAACGGTTAGTGCTCCCCCAGTTGTCAAAAGTTAAACTGTAGCCTAATGGGCCTTATTGAATTGAAAGTGAGGTAAAATCGTTGGAACCTGGGCAGAGAATTGAGAGCAGGAACATTACTAAATAATCCAAGTCTGCTTAACCATGCGAGCTGCGAAGCGTAAAGACTTACGCCGCGTAGCTGAGGTGCTCACGCGTGAGGCAGTTTTTATTTCGCGTATAAAATACTATTTTGTGGACACAATCCTTTCTCTAATGGTCTAAATATTATGAATGCAGGTCCTCCGAACCCACACAAGATTGAATCCCCTCCAGTAGGTCACTCACAGACATTGTGGCTGCACAGTCATGTACATAATTATACACTGCATGCACTGTGACCATTACATTGACTTGACCATTACATGTTGGATCGACCATTACATGTTGGATCCCCCAAAAAAGACGGACATGAAACAGTCGGGACAGCCTTTCTGTGGCTCTAGACAGCTGTCACTGGGCCAGCAGTAGAGGATGATTGATGACATTGTTGTGACGGCGGTATGTAAAGCACAGATAATTTTTTTGTGCACAAGTGAATGGGCTTTGGCTGGAGGCCCAACTTCCCCAGGGGCGGCTGACCCCCAAGTGAACTCCTACAAGAAAAGCGACCATACCATCTCAAACCACAAGGTTCACTTTAGAAATACAATGTACATGTAGTTTCAAGGGAATTGGGTGATAGCTTCATAAAAAAAAGTTAAGAAAAAAAAAAAGTGCCTAGCGCGTAAGCCCCTGCGCAGCCCGCAGGGTTAAACGAATAATTTACACTTCGTAATTTTACATATTCCCTAATGTTTTAAACAAGATTAAAAAAAAAATGAAAGTAAAATAAGGATGCATTAATAGTCTGGCGCCACCCCATTCAGCAGTTAACAATTCATGAAATACACTTAGGGAACATGACAAAAATGGCTACCTCGTGAATACGGTCCATGAAGCAAAAAAAAGAGGAGAGAACATGAAGAGATTGATGCTCACCCGAACAGAATGTTACAACCTCCCGTGAAAAATGAACCGGCGAGAAACACGAAACGGGCACCAACGATTGGTATCTAAGAAGCATATACATGTACATGTAATGTTAAAGTCAATGACTATTAGCAAAAAAAGAAAATGAGCCGGTAGAGGGCGCTAACAACCAAATAGCGCCATCTTTTGGCGAGTAGAGAACAGAGTTTTTGAAAGAAATGGTCGGTTTTATTTTTGTTCCTATAGACCTTTCTACGCTTGGTTGGCAAAATTACGGATGCAAAACTACGAAAGGTACAACACTGCAAAAACGAAGAAGAATTTTACAGAAAACCCAATTATTACTAGATTGTTAGAAATACAATATTGTCAACAAAGCGTCAACACAATTCCTACACATTCTTTTTTTACTGTGTATTGATGGCATTATGGGGACTTTTTTTAATATGTTGCCAAACACGGCTTCAATTAATGCGCTTGTGACAGCCAATATAAAATGGCGCCAATATTTACAAACAAAAGAAAGGTCTACTGTTAGCCCACATTCCTCATTCAAAGATGTTGTAGATTAAACACGAGATATTTTGCGTTCCCCTAAATAATGTCTTATTGAATTTTTAGACCAAACAGGGACTTACCATTTTGCCTATTAGGAGCGATCCTATGCCGTATGACAAGGAAAATACGCTGAACACCATCCCAATAACTGTCTGTGATATTCCCCTTTTCTTTGCCTGTTGCAAAGTGACAGGAAAACCATTTGATATAATGAATCCCTAAAAAGCGGATTTCATCCTTCAATCAACTACATGTATCTAAAAAAAATGTGTTATTGAAGCTTGCAGATTTTAACAGCAGTATGGAGGAATAAGCCATTTGCGAGTTAAATTTGAATAAAATCTGGTACGCTGAAGTCAAATGGTTTCCATATTTCAGTTTTCATTCAACCAGACCTTTGAAATAGGAAAAGTAAAAAAAAAACATTACATTTTCGGGAATTTCTGGCCGTAATGGCCCTTTAAATCGAGCGCAGTCGTACGTGCACGATAAGCGCCGGAGGAAGTAATCGAACGCCGGTGTCATTATGATAATCTGACTCAAATCAAAATCGGACTCCTTTTCCTTATTATTGGTAAATCCCTCGCACACGACAGGTCAGTCTAACATGATCCTAAAAAATCGTGTTATCCTACTTACGCAAGCGCAATACTACCATATTAGCAACCATCATACTACCAATTAGTAACCGGGACTAGATTGTAACAGGGTACTCGTCTGTTGTTTAAAGCTATAGACCATCATTTGTAATTAGTGCATTTTGTTCGTTTGAAGCAACAAAAGTGTTCAAAATCTAATGAAGGATACTAAACAACTTAGTTGATGAAGTTTCAGCTCAGCTTCAGCTTTATATTCCGAGAAAAACAGCATTCTAGGATCTCAATTTGAAATCAAAAAGTTGGTAAATCATGTTTCGAATTGTTTTT